TGAAACTACTGTTGGGTAGGACGGGTCGTACTTGGCCAAGCAGATATGAGAGCTAAGCATGCTCTTCAGCTTCTCAAAAGCCGCTCGCTGGCTTGGTCCCCAGTACCACGAGTTGCGCTGTTGCAGCAGTTCTCTAATTGGCGCCGTGACGTCCGAGAGGTGTGGGATGAAGCGCCCCACGTGGTTCGCCATTCCTAGCAGTCTTCGTACCCCGCTAACGTCCGAGGGTATCGGCAACTTCTGCAGGGCCTCAATCTTTTCGGGGTCGGGGCTGATTCCTCTCGCGATGACCAACACGCCAAAAACGTGACCTCTGAGGCAGCGGAGCTGCACTTCTTCTTGTTCAGCTTGACGCCTGCCTCGTCGAGCCTTTGCAGCACTTGCTGGAGTCGACGATCGTGCCCGCCCTTTGATGCGCCGAAGACGAGAATGTCGTCGATCATGCTCACAACTCCTTCCAGTCCCTCTAGAATGCGACTCATCTGTCGCTCAAAGTACTCTGCTGCTGAACAGATGCCAAAAGGCAGCCTGCGGAAACAGAACCTTCTCATCGGGGTTATGAACGTCGTCAGCGCCTGACTTTCTTCGGAAAGCCTCACTTGGTGGAAGCTTGCAGTGGCGTCCAGCTTCGAGAAAACCTTCGCTTGCCCGAGACGTCCGAGGATGTTCTCAACCGAAGGTAAAATGTGACGCTCCCTCAGTACGACTTCGTTGAGGCGCGTGAGGTCTACGCAGGTGCGGTAGCCTCCTCCTGTCTTCGGAACGACGACCATGCCCGCGCACCAGTCTGTGGGGCGGTCAACCTTGCGGATGACTCCTTCAGACTCTAGCTTCTTGAGCTCACCACAAACGACGTCGTGCAGCGAGATCGGGACCCTTCTCGGCACGCTTAGAGCGAAGGGCTTGGCACCAGGTCGAAGCCGGATGACGTACTCGTCCTTTAGCTCCCCCAGACCGTCGAAAAGCCTGTCTCTCCACAGCACCGCTGGTGCAGCCACATTGTCGACAAACTGAATGACTCCCAGCGCTTGTATTGCTGGGAAGCCGAGAAGAGGGGGGTGTTGTGAAGGCATGACGTAAATGTCCTGCACGGTTGACTTGTCCCACCATTGCAGCGTTGCGGGGAAAGTGCCCAGTACTTTCAGGGGGTGGTTTCCGGGGCCCGTGAGCTCACCTTCTGGTGCACGAAGCTTTTTCGGTACTTCAGGGAATGAACTCGACACCACGGTCACCTCCGCTCCAGAGTCCACTTTGAAGTTCACGTTGTGTCCGTTGACGGCCGCGGTTGCGAACTTTGCTCTGGTACGGGCGCCTGCCGCAACTGTGTGCAGCTCGACAGATCCCATGGTTGTTCTTTTTTCGCAGACGGCTTCGAAGTGTCCAAGTTTCTTGCACCACCTGCATCTCGCCTCTTTTGCCGGACAGTCGGAGCGGGGGTGAGGTGACCTGCCGCAGAACCTGCAGCGTCCGTCGCTTGAGCAAGGCTTGGGAGTCCTCGTTGCGCCTTCCCCCGACAAGTCGGAACGCCGTCGTGACTTCGGAAGACGTTTTCGGACTTCTGCTTCGAAGACGCCAGCGAAAGGACTTCAATCGCCGTCACGCCGCTCGCCAACTTCGCCCGCTGTCCGTAGGAGAGGACGTGTGGGTACAAGACGTGCGGTGCCGAGCAACAGTCCTCAGTCCAGCGAAGCGGCCGCGATCCTACGTAGTCGAGACCGGGACAGGAGTCCTGCAACGCAACCGCCGGCACCTGGTACTATTCGATGCGTCTCCGGCAGGCTTCGACGCTCCGGATCCCGGCGGTTCGACCAATAAGACTACGGGTACGGCTCCAGCCAGTCCGGCAATCTCAACGGCAAGAGCAAGTCCGGGTGCAGGGAGCCAACAACAGCCGACCGCAGTTGAGCCTGCACCAACAGCAGCGCCGGCGAACTTGACGAACTCCCCTTCAACATCAGCGTCGACGGACACGTCGACGGCGGACAATACGCCGATAAGAGTGACTCGGTCGGGCCGCCAAGTTAGGCGACCCGTACATTTGGACTTGTAAAACTTAAAAGGGGGGACGTAGTGATGACACGACAGTTGTCACTCGCGTGCCCCGCGGCAATGCGTCCATGCTAGTGCGCATGCTCGGGGTAATCTTCACTTCGAGAGTAGTGATAATAAACACTTGGGTTACGGACTCTGGTGTGGCTGGTCGCTCCTTCCCCGCGAGACAAAGGTCACGTGACTCCCCAAGTCACGTGCCCCCAGAGGTCACGTGACCCCCCCCCCCCCCGAAGTCGCGTGACACCCCCAAAGTCACGTGACCCCCAGAGGTCACGTGACCCCTCCCCCAGGGTCACGTGACACCCAAGGTCACGTGACTCCTCAAGTCACGTGACCTTGGGTGGGGGGTCACGTGACTCCTCAAGTCACGTGACCTCGGGGAGGGGGGGGGGGGCACGTGACTCCTCAAGTCACGTGACCCCCCCTCCCCTCGAGGTCAGGTGACCCCCCCCCCCCGGAGCATATTCAAGAATGAGGGGAGGAGGAGGAGGAGGAGGGGTCTGCCCTCCCCTCAGTACCCTTCCCTCCTCCTCCTCCTCCTCCTGTCCCCTTTTTTGTCTTCTTACACTTTTTCCTCCAAATTTCATTCCCAGAGCTGAGTTTCAGGCGTTGTCCCGTCCCCTTCTTTCTGTTTTCTTACACTTTTTCTTTCAAATTTCATTCCCATTCTCAGGATTTTGCATTATGTACAAACTAAACTTACTATATGCCAGCGTCACTCGGGCGGTATTCAATCGGATTACTACCAGCATTCAAGGGGCTAGGGGGGCAGTTTGCCAGATCACTTCAAGGTTTTTCTGAGCCTCAACCACCTGCCTGCCCCTGGCCGTTTCGAACTGGATGAGTATCGTTAAACAGTGCGTTCGTAGGATCACTACTTCGTGATGCACGTTAATGACCACCCCGGGCTGGCGGTCACAATCTCTGATCTATTGTCACTCGTCACTCTGCACTGGCAAATATTCCAGCACATCCGGGACACTCGTCGTCTCATTTAATTGCCTGACCAACTTCGCGCGGTCTAAATATCACACCCGAACGTTTCTAAACCTGATTTCGTGAAAATCAAGAGGCGCAAAAACGTTATTTGAAACTGAAACTGTGGCGGAACATGAAAACTGGACTTCAAACTTTGCGCACTCGGACTTCAACGAAATTGGAAACCTTCGAATTTTTTTTCTCAAATTTAGCCGTGAAAGAGATCGAAACCTTCGACCTTTTTGAACTTTATGTAGAAAGAAATTCGAAATCTTCGAATTTATCGAGCTTTATGTCTAAGAATTCGAAACGTACGAATTTTTCCAATTTTAGATCCAAAGAAAAATCGAAACATTCGAATCTTTCAAATTTCAAATTAGGGAAGTTCGAAATCTTCGATTTTATCGAACCTCAAGTAAAGAAATATTCGAAATAATTGAACCCGAACTTCTAGAAACCACGAAAACTTCGAACTTTTCGATTGCGAAACCCCGCGATTTTGGAAAGTTGCGAATTTTTCGATTTCGAACCTCCGTACGGTCGAAAATATCGAAACCTTTTGAATTCGAACATCAGTTCGTTTCAAAAATATCGAAACCTTTCGAATTCGAACCTAGGGTGGTTCGCGGCATCCCTATTACTGACGATGAATTCCCACCAACTCGCCAACTATCCATTCTTCTACGATATCGGGAAAAATTGCCGCCATCTATGAGCGACGGTGGCAACCGGACTGGTTGTCTGGTTGCCGCCGTCACTCATAGATGGCGGTAGCTGTCCAGAGTTTTGTGTCGGCATTTGTTTGGTACCGAACGTGAAACCAGGGAAGCTAACCCTTCTCTGCTGTAAAAATTTCTGCTCAGGTTCGGTTCTATGCTACTTACTGCCGTTTGTGCTCCGCAGAACGTATTCGCTAATAAATACGAGATATATCTTAGAAAACTCTTTGAACATGCACCTCAATTGTTTTGTTTGTTTTAGTCAGGAAGAGCAAGTTTCATGATGGTTGTAATATGTCGGAACAGTACGAACACTTCTTCTATACTATTTCACATATTTTGACTAACTAATCCTTAAAACAATTATAGTTTCGTCAGGAAGCTAGTATATATCATCTGTGTGGAAGCATTTTTTGTCGTAATCTTAAAAACGTACATTTTTAAAAGGAGAGGTGTTTATTTGGCTCCCCGAATTTACTTTCATGGGTATACGTGTTTTCTTCGCTGCCATTATCTCACATGGCAAATGAAAAAAGATGCGACTCTAGCAAGCTGCGAAAAAAAAAATCTTAACTTCAATGAAAGAGTGGCCTTGATACAAAAATAAATAAGCACATAATGAAGCTTTTCTTTTATTATGTTCTAAATTAAACCAGTCCCCTCGTTCATCAGAGCGTGTCATGAATGGAACATTTTTCGCGTCTTATTGGACACAGATTCCCTCCTGGCTCCCGTTTTTCTTTTTCTACTTCTGATTATATCAAAACACAAACACATAACACATAAATCTGCATAAGTAAGAAGCAGTTCTTGTGTTCACTGACTTGCCTATATTGCTCTTCATTCTGCATACACCCAGCTATTTTGTTGTCCATCCATTGGCGAAATTCGCTGGTCCCTGGTGACAAGAACCGAGGTCTTGAACCACGCCAGAAGATAATTTTGTCGTCTCTTGCCATTGCCCCTCGGACTTTTTTTTTGTTTGAAATAAAGACAATACAACATATATCAATAATACCTTTGCAAGTCTTTAAAAAAATTTTCTTTCAAGATGTATGCCCCAAAACACAAATGCCTTCATTTGTGTTTTGGGGCGCAAATAAGCGTCTTAGGTGGGAAACGAATTATTTACTCCAACGAAGTTAGGATAAAAAGTTCTTTATGCACGCCAAATAAGACGTAGGCTGATATGCGCCGACACGAGGTACCGGATTAACTTTACGCTTTCTAACGATGGCTTATATTTTTTAGGTGAACTCGAGATCGCACAGCCATACATGGTTTTTCATTCCATCTACGCAGGCATCCCATTAACGCAAGTGAAGGTAAGATGATAAAATTGTTTTATAATCTCTTTATCTCCATCTTTCAGCTCGCGCTGCACGGCTTTTCCGGGCACTTTTGTGTTATCTGAGTATGCTCGCTAATGTGCTCATTCCTTCTTATTGCTGAAGGAGAGTGCGATTAAAAGTAGGCTTCTAAGGAATTAGAGAACGCAAACAAACTCAATAACACTAAACTAATTCAAGACGTTCGATATCTATCCCATTATTGAAGTGAAATAGCCCTCGAAAAAGCTGATTACCGAAACAAACGCACAAAAAAAAGTGGGTCTCGAGTCCCCAAATTACAATTTAATTTATTCTCATGTCCTTTATTCGAAATTGTGTTTTGATGAACAGCATAATACTGCACCGGTCAAGTTTTTTAGTTTTAAAAGGAAGCGTAAACACTTCTGTAAAAAAAAGAAAATAGAGGTTGACTCCAGCGTATTTTTGCCTCGTGAATTTGAATATCACGTTCGTTTTCCCCGAAGATGTAACTAGACGCGAGAGAACACGAAAAACTTCCGACCAATCGTTACTTCCTGAGAGGATCTTTCGGCCACCAAGTTCGTGTCGCTCATGTGAGCAGCGCGTGCAATTGCAAGCTTCCCCCCGCACTGGCACCAGCCGTGACGTCTTTCTCTGACCTCATTTTGAAGATAGCGAGGGTGCGCTTGCACAGCCTTGATAGGCACAGAATATGCGCGAGAGCGGAGGTTTCGAAAACTCCTTTTATGGCGTCACGCTCCGGGAAGGAGGGGCTTCGGCGGTACATTGAAAATGATTTTCTGCAGCCTCCATACACCAGATTAAAAAAAAAAAAAAGTGAAACTCAATATTCGGCATCCCGGAGGCCGAAGGAAAACGATTTAAGTGTGTTTCCTCAGGTACGAAACCGATTCAGCTTCCCTTTCATTATTTCTTCTACTAGACTGTTCGGAGTTCGAGTTCTCGGCCAAAAACTGTGGGCCAGCTTCTGCACTAATTCCACCTATGCACCAGCGCGCGTCCCTGACGTCATGCCGCTGCGGTGGAGGCGCTGCTGTCGGTGCATGCGCAATCGCTTCACGCGAATCCGGTTTCTGAGTACGCGCCGACGCTATGATGGGATGGAACCAGTCAAGCAGCGTCAACCGGCCAGTAGGCTTGGCCCTGTCCTCCGGTTGACGCCAAAAACCATGTAAGCCAATACTGGCAACTCCCGCGGATGGCCGGCGAAAAGTGATCGCAGCGCCCCTGGCGAGCTCGAAGTCTTCACTAGCAGACGAATTCTCCACAGTGCATTGGTTTTGCCTATCTCCGTGCGAGGTGACCGATGAAGAAAACAAAATTGTCACGGGTATTCACTGCTTTGAATGTTAAAAAATAGGTGCCACCCCATAAGTCAGGGACATTTTCTTCGCGTGGGAAAGACTACTTCCATAAAGCCCTGCATGCAACACGGCGCGCGTTGCACTCTGGGAACTAGTTGGCCAGGGAGGAGGGTGGCATGGTTTCGGTTTCGATCGACACGTCGACAAGAGATGGTTTTCTGGTCCCGAGAGCGTCATTTGTGGTCTCTAGACTAACCTAAATGGTCAGGCCTCGAAGCTTTAGCACAAGCCTGAGACGTATAGCTTGTCTTAACACATGCTTGTTGTATTTTTGTACTTGAGCCTTCCTGTTAGCGTTCCAATCGAGGTATGTGGACGAGCCAGTGCTGGGAATCTCGACGCTGCTAAGCTTGGGGATCTTGCTTGTGTACGAATCAACAAGCTGTAGCAACCAATAAGTA